ACTTCTTCTTACCACGTTCCAACTAAAGTGGAAAGAAATATTTTTTAAAAATCATTATGATAGCATTAGGAGGGAATCAAGGTAGAAAAATTATGAATCTATTAAGAAGTTGTGTGTTTTGCCCTAGGTGGTTTGGCTCAGTTGATAGAGTATCGGTCTGCAGACTGAAGGGTCCCAGGTTCAATTCCGTCCAAGGGCACATGCTGGAGTTGCAGGCTCAATCCGCGCCCCCCCCACCAGTAGGGGGCGTACAGGAGGCAGCCAGTCAATGATTCTCTCTCATCACTGATGTTTCTCTCTATATATCCCTTTCCCTTCCTCTCTGAAATCAATAAAAATAGATATTTTTTTTAAAAGTTGTGTTTTTTTACTGAAACAGTCAAAATGGTAATCACATACTGATTTCCCAAAGCAGATACTGTTTTAAGAAAACGCACTATGGAAAAAGCATACAATATTAATGGTCATAAACGCTTCAGCTAAGTGTATTTACTGAGGTAAAATGGCCTGGAAACAGATGTAATAAGTCAAACAAGGACATCAGCCTTTAATCATCAGGATAATGCCAAGAGAGCATTTTTGTTAGCAACTCTCCAGAGGGAAGATACTGGCCTCCTACAAGAGGTCAAGAAAGGTCACATAATCTCAGAATTCAAGGAAACAATACACACACACACACACACACACACACTATCCTATACTTCAAAATCTAGTATTACGAGTTCCTCTTCCTCTAGCATACTTCACATATGCTTTGAATTCACTGTTTCAATAGACATTTCTCTAGTTTCCAAGCAATCTAATTGTAAACACTTAATCATCCCCCCTCCCCCCCTCCCCCCCGCCCGGGTGTAGTATAGTAATATACTAGGATAAAACTTTTAGAATGTGTCTTGGGTTTTGATTGGTTTTCCTCATTAATGAGATGAGTACTTCAAAATATATCCTTGACTTTAAAGAGTTGCTTTAAAAAAAAAAAGGTCAGTAGCAGCTGTTAAACTATAATTTCAATGGAGATGGGCAATCATAGTGGATACATTGTCAGCATCCTGGGAATCAGAAGATAAGAGAGAGAATAAAAAATTGCCAGTCATAAAGATGAAAATTTACCAAACTTAACCAGTGATACAACAGTATTCAAACAGAATAAAGTCTGTAGGGGAACCAAGCAGAAAAGCTGTCCTAAGTAGTTTTATGTCTTCTTTCCTTACCTAGGAGGTAAGCTAGGTTTCAAATTAGGACAGAATTGATTTAAAATATAGTTCAAAATAACTGCTGTTTGATTTATCACTAACTATATTTCCTCAGCTTCTAGTTCTTGATAATAGTAACAACTGGCTGGTATAAAATGTTCACATTAGTTTACGTTTAAATTTCTTGTTATCAGATGTGATGCATAATATTATGAAACCAGAAAAGATCAATCTGACTCTGTGTCTAGGGCCATGGCCATTTGTTGTGCTAGTCTCAGGAAGAGCTAACAATTGTTGCTTTCTTTCTCCAGCTCCCTATGCTCCAACATTGGTCTTTCTGTAAATCAACCATGCAATGCAATTTCCCTTTCCCTGAAATACTTTTCTCCAGACTTTTAGCACAGCTGGCTCCTTTTCTTCTAGTCTCAGTTCAAATGTCATTTCCTCTGAGGTCTTTTCCAGCTTCCACTCCTCTATTTTTTCTGAGATCATATACTGTTGATTTGTTTACAGCAGTTCCCACTGTAGACCATTATCATGCTTGTAAATTTGTTTATCTCTACTGACTAGAATGTAAGCGCCACGAAGAAGCTTATAGGTCAAGTTCACAGCTGTATTCTCACAGGCTAGAACCGTGCCTCACATAAAATAGGCTTCTATAAGTGATTGTTGGACGGATGGATGAGGAAGGGCAAAGTCTAGGTGGTTGATAAAGATCCTCCTCTGTTTATAATCTGACATTCCATCGCCACCAGGACTAACATCTGCTCTCAGTCTCCACCATTTCTCACCTGGACTGCTGCAAGTCTGCCTGCTTCTTCCCGGGATCCCCTATGGTCTATTTCAACACAACTGCCGACCTAATCCTCTTTAAAACATGCCTCTCTTCTGTGAGAAACCCTGTAATGGGCTCCATATATCACTCAAAGTAAAAGCCAAAGTCCTTACAAATAGCCTACAAGCCCTACTTGGTGTGTTCCCTCCTTACCTCTGAAATGTCCCTCGTTTAGTCAGCAATAACTGCTTTTGCCTTCCTGTTCCTTGAACATGCCAGGCACCATAGGGTATTTTCTCTAAACTGTTCCCTCTTCCTATAATGTCTTTCCTCCTGTATCCGATCGACTAGCTCCCTCACCTAGTCTATTTAAATCTGACCTTCCTATTGACGCCTATCCTCATGCCTACTGCAACCGATCAGCACACCCCCATGTCAGCTTTCCCCCTTGATCTTTTCCCCCATAGAACATATTATCTTCTAACATACTGTACAGTTTATTTTTACATTTTATTAACTGTCTTTCCTGCCACCTTCACTATAATGTAAACTCTGAGGGCATACTTTGTTCACTAATGATTCCCAGGCACCTATGATAGTGTCTGGCACAAGTAGGCATTCAGTATATATTAACATGAATTAGTAATCTTGATCCTATATAATAAAAGCCTAATATGCAAATTGTCCCCTGGACTGGGAGTTTGGCTGCTTGACCAGTCGCTATGACCACCAGGGGGCAGATGCTCCAACTGATAGGGTAGCTTTGCTGCAGGCGCTGGTGGGCTGGACTGGAAAGTGAGGTGTGAGGTGAGCCCCCAGTGGAGGCAGGCAGGGACCTGGTGGTGCAGGAGGCTGATCTGCCTGATCAGAGAGGCTGGACTGTGCAGCCCTCCACAGCCTGTGGCATTCTCAGTGCACAATTTATAATCTTTAGAGCTGCTTCTTTTTATTTGATGTTTCACTAACTACTCCAGGAGACTGGGTAGCACCATTCGTGGTGGTGGGGGGGGGCAGGGGCGTGGCGCCTTTGGGGAGCTCCACCCTGGAGGAGAAAGGGGAGGCTGCAGACAGGTCACAAAGCGGGGGCAGAGCAGGGCCCACCAAGTTATATGGAGAGGACAGAGGGAGAGACCCCTCATGACTGGGGACAGAGATGGGCAGAGAAGGAGGGCTGTGTGGAAGCAGAAATCCTGACCCCATTTTACAGATCCCAGCAGAGTGGGTGTGTGTGGGGCGGGTGGGGCACACGAAGACAAAAGAGAGTGAGAGGACTGGATGGATAAAGAGCAGTGTTTGATTCATGGCCTATTTTTATTTTTTTATTATATTTTTGATTTCTGAGAGGAAGGCAGAGATAGAAACTTCAATGATGAGAGAGAATTGATCTGCTCCATCCTTCATGCCCCCTCCTGGGGATTGAGCCCACAACCCAGGAATGTGCCCTTGACCAGAATTGAACCCAGGACCCTTCAGTCCACAGGCCATGGCTCTACCCACTGAGCCAACCCATCTAGGGCGACCCATGGCCTATTTAAAACCGCTGCAGTAGGCTGAGCACGGGTCTTACCACGATGCTGCTACCTGATAATGAGGGTGTCTCTCCTTATGTTGGAGTAATCAGAACTGCAGCAAAGTAAAGACACACCCATGGAGCGATGCAATTTACTTCGTGCGGCAGCTGAAGAGGGTGAGCAGAGCCTTGGAAGGACATAAGGTCTCCAACACCAGGGGCTGGAGGGAAAGTGCGTGCTGAGCATTCTGCACTGTGAATTACAATCTCTCTCTCTCTCTCTCTCTCTCTATATATATATATATATGCCTAATATGGTAAGTGTCTGACCTAGTGATCGACTTCCTGCATACCTCTCTGGCCACAATCGTGCACCGGTGGGGTTCCTTGCCATGGCCTGTGCCCTCTTGCAATCCAGGAACCCTTGGAGGATGTCGGAGAGCCGGTTTCAGCCCGACCCCACAAGCCAGGCTGAGGGACCCCCACTGGTGCATGAATTCATGCAAAGGGCCTCTAGTTTAAAATATTATCAATGGTTGCTTTATAGATCTGAATCACTGAATTGAACCAGATACCAGACCATCTTAAGAACTTTCTCAGCATTTAGAAATGTCTAATGGTATTTACTCCACTCCCTTCAAAAGCAGTGTTCTCTGCTGATAGATATAAGATCCATGCATTTTGTGGCCGGTTTTATAATATGGCTACCAAGAACCTTTTCCAACCTTGAAGATTCAAGACTGAAAAACCTTTCCTTAGGTACCTTTTGAGATGGATATGTAGTCCAAGCCTCAATGTTTTAATAGGAAAAGGCTTAGTTTGGCTATTTCAGATTTGACTCAATTTTCTAAATACATTACTTTTATCAATTTCATCCAGACACTGCAATTTATTATACAACCCTCACTCACAGATTTCCCCTAGATCTGATGCCTTCTAGATTCTAATCTTTAGATAGTGTTATAAATGTACACCTTGCAGAGATGGCAAAGTCTAACTCCTTAATCTTCCCTGAGAAGCTAACTTTTAGAAATGAACTAAGCATTTAAGGAAAGTTACACTTTATGTTATGATTAAAGAAACACAATAGAAATCCATTCTGAGTATGAAAAAAATAAACACTAAATTATTTGTTACTCTACTAAAGCCTAAATCTAAACCATAGATTACAACCAGTATTTAACTATACACTCACATAGCTAATAAAGGGGAAAAAAAACACAAAAAACTTGAACCCCATGCACCGAAAATAGCCTGCTTCCACCAACGTCAGGTATTAGCATATCCCAGGATATAGCAGATTGGGGGCAGGACTTCAAGCTCAATTAAAGCTGAAGGTCATTCCATTGTGTAATTCTGAGCTGCTAAAAATAAAATTTCACTAAAAAAATCACAATGGTACTTTATACAACCTTAATGACAAAAGAATAATTTTTTGCTCCTTATCTAAAATTTATAATACTGACCAAAAGCTAATAATTATTGGTATATGTATAGTAAAGTGTGATAAAATAAGACAAAGCATGGTAAAGATTGCTTTATTGGTGGCAGTTAGTACAAGTCAATAAATATTGATCCCAAAGAAGAACTCAGTTACTGTCAGCTTACTGGTCCATAGAGAGCTGAATGAAATTGAACCAGCTGATTGCTGGGAGGATAACTGAGGTCAACCCTGCTTCTTTGGAAATGAAGCCAAAGCCAGCTGATATATGGCATAAATTGTTCCTAAAAAAATAAAAGAAACACAAGAACTTAAAAATGTATACGCATACTCTGAATAACTATACAGGCAGTGTTTATTAAAATACATTTTAATTTCATTTTCAAAATTGAGCTATCAGCTATTAAAATGTATATACACTTTTTAAGTCACCCTGTATATAAATATTTATTCTAGTTTCAATATTACTTAACTTCTACACAAAGTTCTAGATACAGTGCAATAATGTATTTGTCATCTTAAAAACAAAAATTTTTAAATAAAATTAAGAACATATATAAAGGTAATTTCCATACTCATCTAAGAATGCCTGAGAAAGCTAAGAATGATTAAAAAACCAACAAGAGGTAAAAATACACAAGCTTTCCCTAAAGTGTATTGCCAATGTAAAACCAAGGAACATGATATATAATTTTAAAATAACCAAGAATAGCTAATAACTAGAAATTTATAACTCTGCTCCTACTATACCATTTTGTGTATTATACTGCTAATACTGAATAATGGACCTGCCTAATCCACAGAAAAAAATGTCAAAGCACTTTGCATATAGTAATAAGTATTGGTCTGCACTGGTTTTGTCATAAATGTGTACAAAATTGAGATGTAAAATTTTTTTATTATGTATCACAAAATGTTTAAAAGCCCCTTACAGGAGATGGGGTAGAGTAGATGCCTTGGATTCCTCCAAAGGCCTGCAGGGCCAGCAACTGGCACATGGAAGGCCAATCATCAAACTTTACTGGTTTATTTGTTAAAGACATTAAAATGTTCTTATACAATATGTACCAATCACCCTCTTGAATCCTTAGAGCAAAGCAGTAAGATCTCAGATTCTAGAGAAAGAGTGCCTGTGTTAAAATACTGGCATAGCATGCTATATACAGACAATGTATTATAAAATTGTATACTTGAAATATATAATATTAATGAATGACATCCCAATGAATTTAATAAGAAATAATATTTTAAAAATACTGGTATAGTAAAAGCAATGAAATTGTTAGTTATCCTTACTATTACTTTTCTATATGCATTTCAAATGTCTTACCACCAACTGTAAGAATCATGGTAGCTCTATACAGGAGGGCATCAGCTATCCCACCCTTTAGATGTACTGGAATTCCATCATCCTCCTAAGTTAAAAAAAAAAATAATAATATTAAGAAAAAGATTAATCCATTCATATAAAATTAAGTGGCTAGAATTTAAATATTTTAAATTTCAAAATTAAAAAGAACTACAATTTTCCTGATTTTTCTCTACTACTACTCCTCCTCCTCCTCCTCCTCCTACCACTACTTTTAAAATAAGAACTTCTAAAGTCAACACTTTCTTTTAAAGTTAATTTGAGATCCAATAAAGATGTTCTTTCCATGGAATATATAAAATACAAATGTCAATGATATGAAAATATATTCATTGAGTTCATCAACTTAATTACAAATATTAGTAATCATCACATTTTAGATTCAAAGAGAAGATTTTTTTTATTCTTTAAAATAAAGGCAGAGATTAAAAATGGTGGCGAAGTAATTGGATGCTACATGGACATGCTCCCAGGACCAAACTGGAATTACAACTAAAATACAGAAAAACTTCCTGAGTAATCAATGGAAGACTCCCTGGAGAAGGGTTGAAAAAAATCACTCAATCAGAGAACCAAAAAGAAAAATCAATTAAATAACAGGACAGCTTCAGGAAGCTGTGGAACAACGTGAAATGTAACAATACTTGAATACCAAGAGTGCATGAATAAAGGGATAGAGAATGTGTTTGAAGAAATAATGGCAGAAACCTTCCCTAACCTGGTAAAGGAAAAAGTCACACAAGTTCAGAAGGTACAGAGAACCCCAAGCAAGAAGAACCCAAACAGGCACATACCCAGACACATCATAATTAAAATGCCAAAAGTTAAAGACAAAGAGAGAATTTTAAAGGCAACAAAAGAAAAGGTTACCTACAAAGGAGTTCCCATAAGGCTGACACCTGATTACTCATCAGAAACGCTACAGGCCAGAAAAGAATGGCATGAAGTACTCAATGTAATGGAAAGCAAGGATCTGAGAACAAGATTACTATATCCAGCAAGGCTATCATTCAAAATACATGGTCAAATAAAGAGCTTCCCAGATTTAAAAAAAAAAAAAAAAAAGGCTAAAGTAGTACATCACCACCAAGATAGCATTAATGCTAAATGGACTGCTGTAATGAGAAGAACTAGAGAGAGAAACCTAGCCATACAGAATTAAAATGGCAATAAATAAGTACCTATCAATAATAACCTTAAATGTAAATGGATTAAATACTCTAATCAAAAGGTGTAGAATAGGTGAATGGATACAAACACATGACCCAACTATATGCTGTCTACAAGAGACCCACCACAGAACAAAAGACACACACAAGATGAGAGTGAAGGGATGGAAAAAAATTTTCCATTCAAATGGAAAAGAAAAAAAAGCTGGAGTAGCAATACTCATATCCAACAAAACAGACTTCAAAATGAAGGCCATCACAAGAGACAACAAAGGTCACTACATAATACTAAAGGGACGATCCAACAAGAGGATATAACCCTGGTAAACATATATGCACCCAATACAGGAGCACCTAAATATATAAAAAGACTTCAACAACCCGCTGACTACACTAAATAGATCTTCCAGACAAAAACTTAACAAGGAAAAAGAGACTCTAAAGGACACACTGGATCAGATTGATTTAATAGACATTTATAGAACATTTCACCCCAATGCAGC